AAGTCAAAATTGAGCAAGTTGTGTGGGTGAAAGGGCAAAAACTCTTTTTTATTTGAAACATCACCCAGTTCTCGCAATAAAGATGCCTGGCGCACAGTTAGAAATTCTTCCCTAGATCTTAAATCCAGCTTAGGAGGGAAGACGTGGATGTAGAAGCCAGTCTCAGTTATTTAGACTAGAGCAAGATCCTCTGAGAGGAAGAAGTCAGAGACAGAAAAGAATTTAACTGTTTCCTTGACCAGAACCTCAAAGATAAAGTTATCTGCAGATCTCAGTTGCTCCAAAGTGGTTCTAGAAAATCAGATCCAAACAATACCTTGAACTTTACTATGTTAGTAGAGTGTAGGGTAAGGTAAAAAAGCATCAGGCTTTTCTGCCCTCCCGCCATCAGGATGGATGATGGATCCCTGCGGTCCTGAATGCCTGCCTGATGGCGGGCCCCTGGAGTGGGTGTGGGCATGCGCAGGTGGGCACACCAGGGCCGAGAGACTGGGCTTAGAAGGGCAGCATCGTGGGGACACCAGCAGAGAACAGAACAGCAGAAGAAACGAGAAGAGAATGAGTGTAAGAGAGGCAGAGGCCACGAGAGAACGCAGGAGAGCCCAGTGTAAGGGGCAGGAATAGACACTGAGCAGGTTTTCTAGGATCCAGCAGACCAGGTAAAGGAGGAGTCAGAGTCCTCAGTGTTTTTTTTGCAGGTCTTTTATTGGGATTACCAGGTACACCAAAGGCAGGGACGCTGGGGGGCCGGGAGGCTGGCAGGCCTCCCAGCCCCCAGCAGGTCTTCACTCTGGGCTCTCTGGCCTTCTCTGCTTCTCTCTCGGCTTCTCTTCGGCTTCTGCTCGGCTTCTTGGCTTCTCCTTCAGCTTCTGCTGCGTCCCCGTGACGCCGCCCTTAAAAGCCCAGTCTCAGCCCAGGTGAATCCCATCTACCTATGCCCATACCCTACTCCAGGTGCCGCCATCAGGCATGCATTCAGGACCTCAAGGATCCATCATCTATCCTGATGGCGGGAGGGCAGAAAAGCCTGACATTTTTCCTTACCCTACACTCAGAAAGAGTGAAGATTTGCTGGGGGCTGGGAGGCTGGCAGGTCTCCCAGCCCCCTAGCACCCCTGCCCGGCATGTGCCTGGTAAATCCCAATTAAAGCCTGAAAAGCCACCAAGGGCTCCAGGACTCTGTCCTTCACCCCCTGCTCGAATCATGGGGATCCTGCTCCATGGCCTTCATGCCGCCACATATAGGAAACTAATTATTGAAGAACAACGAAAAAAAATGGGTAATGAGACAAATCCCTGGGATAGAAAACTTTCACTTCAAGAAGGAAGATGTGCTGTTGTAAGTGAAAACATGGGTAGGGCAATTTCAGTGCTTTTTATGCTTTTCTGGATTTGTGTTTTTCTTTTGAATCGGGACACTTGACTTGTTTCTTCAAAAGTGCTAAAGAAAGAATTACACAAAGAAACTAATGGGCAGGGAGACTAGGACCAGGCAGGACCTGGCCCTGCCGGGGCTGTGGCGGGAGTCCCTGGGCGGCCCAGGTGTGCACACCTCACCTGTCCATCAGCTCTCGCATATTCTAGACATTTCGAGACTGGGGTGATTATGGATAAATTACTTTTGTGTAAAGAGGTTTTCTCTTCTCTTTAGCGATGGGGGATTGCTTACTAGGTATGTTTAAGATGCTACGAGACTGTTTGCCAGGTCGGGCTGCACCATCTTTTATTTCCAGGAGCCGTGTCCAGCCTTTCCGTCAGCACCTGGCATTTCAGAAAGCTGCTGTGATTTGTTTTCATTTATGAGCTTCATAATGTCACATCCATTCTCCTTGCCCCATAAACCAAAGGGGCTGATGCAGGTGGCCCCGGTGGAGGAGTCACAGCAAGACGTGGGGCCCCACTAAGAAGCCTGGGCTCGGGGGAGGCCTCCTTCTCTTATAATGAGGAGCAAGCAAACACACCTGCGTTTTGCCCGAGAGGAGATATTTTCTGTTGTACTGGACTGTCTGCTGACCTGTCCTCTTCTCCCGAAGGAAATAGGCATTTATTTCCACACTACCTGCCCTTAAAGACATGGTCCATACCCGGTTCAGCTGACAAGGTGCAGAAACAGCAGCCCCTGAGGAACCATCTCCCAAACATTTTTAAAAAGCAGATTAACTCCCTTAACATTTCATATTTATACAGCATTTTAACAATGTATATTACTTCTTAGGCCATTTTTGTTAGGTTATGTTTTTACAGTATAGTAACCATTTTATTTTATTTTTTATAAGGATTATTTATACATACAAGAACTGGGGTACAGGGCAGAGATGTGGAGGGTGAGAGGATTCACCAGAGACAGAGTGGGGAGCAGAACAGGCAGACTGACTGAAATCCACTGCGGAGGGGAGCAGTGGGCGAGGCAGGAGAGGACTCCCTGGCTGGCCAGGGATTGAACTTGTGCTGCAGTGGCTGCAGATAGCTTCATAGTGCTGTGCTTAACCCCTTGCACCACCAGGGAGGCCCTATTTTCATTTTTAAATATTGTAGCATAAAGCGTGCTCATCACATTCTCTTTAGTTTTGATTTCTCTCTCCAGTATGTTTTCTCATCATTTCAGATACTGATTATTTTGCCCCCTGTCTTTTTAGGAGGTTGGTCACAAGAGTCTTTCCAATTTTAGCAATCTTACAGACTGTCATCTTTCTTGTGATCTTTGTACTTTCTTTTATTATTTCCACCCTTCTTAATTCTTTTCTTACACATTTTTTTGATTACTCTGGACTCTGGTCTTATTTCCCCCTAACTTCTGACTTTGTATGCTTAGGTTATTACTTTTCCCTTTTTCCTTTTCTGCTATAAATAAGTCTATAATTTTCCCTCTGAATGCTCCTTTAGCTGCAGGCCACGGTTGTGATAGCTAACATTTTTTTGTGACTAATTTGTTCTCAGTAGACTTAATTACCATTACGATTTCTCTTTTTTTTTTGACAAAGATAGTATGTTTGTCCCTGTGTGATTCTATTTGAGTTTTTCCAAATTTACACAGGTAGGTGGCGGGGGAATTAAGATTAATATTGTTTTAATTCAAGGCTTGTTTTTGTTTTTTTTGTTATATTGTGGTTACGTTTTAGTCCATGGACTGATTACTTTGAAGTTACACTTCAAACCTGTAGTGGGAATTTGAGGGAGGCTGCTCCTCTATGCATCACACACAACATCCTCCTGACTCCTCTGTATTTTCTTCCAGGCTGATAAATTATATGCTTCATGGGATGACAAAACACTTTCCCAATTTATTGGATTTTAAACCCAAGTGACTGAAATGTCTCCCGATGATTGTAGATTTTTGCATTCGATGTGAGTTGAGGGAAGGATTTACTAACTGGAGAGATTCTCTTAGATCAGGGATTGGCAAACCATGTCCATGGATTAACTCTCCACCTTGGCAGTCCTGTGAACATTTGTGAGCTAAGATTTTTTACATTTTCCAAGTTTTGTTTAAAAAATTAAAAAGCAGAAAAAGGAAAAGGGAATGGGGCTGAGAGATAAGCAGCCTGGAAGCCTCAAATAGTTACTATTTGTAAGGCTGCAGAAGACGTTTGCCTCGCTGTCTCTCACACCATAAGACCTTCTGTTCATGCTGCAAGAAATATGTAGTGTGTAGTGTGTAGTGGCATGAAACTTTCAGTTATTACAACTTTATCGATATTTGGTATTCAAAATAATTTTTGAAAACTTTGCTGTATGTTTGCACAATTTATAGAACTAACTCTAGCAGAGGTTTAACTGTTGCATATCGCTCCTAATTTTACAAAGCAGAAAGCTTTGCAAGTTACATAAGTGCTATATTGGTAACATGGACAACACCAAGAAATACCTGTTCTAAGCATATGTGCAAATCACAGCCGCCAAAGCAGATTTCACAGCAGCGACATATAGTTCACAAATTTCTGTAAATTGATTTTTCTGTCTGACGTGATGAATTTGGCTGATGTCTCTGTGTCTATTAAATATACTGCCATGTGACAGTTGTCTAAAGGAGGGTTTAATTTTAAAGGACATTGGTCTTTTTAGGACTGATTCAATCTTATCTTAATTTTTCCATTTTTGTTGCAGATTTCTAAATCTTAAAGGTGCCATAAAAATCAGCTGTGCATTTTACCTTGTTTTTTCCTCCTTTTTGGCATCTCTGAAAATCTGTAAATGAATGTGATTAAGTCAAAGTGTATGAAAATAAAATCCTTCTTTTCAAGGCCTTTGACAATTTTGTCACTACCTCTAAAGTGGTGTGTGCATTGTAGCAACTAGTCGTTTCCCTTTTTGTCAACAATGCCATTCAAACTTTTAATTGCTTTAAACTTTAATTCTCTTAAAGCCGCAGAAGAGCTTTTTGGTGCTAATGAGCACAGTAAGGACACATTTTGGGAAACTGAGAATAGAAAAGAATAATTTTGTTAAAATTTAAGAAACAAAAAAATGAAGTGAGATGTGTGGCCCAGAAGTTAAGTGCACATTTCAATTGCGGCAGAATAAAAACTACCAGATGTTACATTTAATATTCAAATACAAAATGACAAACATCACAAATACAATGTGCTGTCTAAATAGAAAAACTGTTTTCCCAGCTGAAGATTTGTTGCCCAAACAGAGGTCAGCATGAGAGTGGGTGAGCTGGTCACTTAGTCCGGCTTTTTTCCTTTTTTGATAACTTATTTATTTATGCATGCAAAAGCTGGGGTGTAGGCCAGAGGTGTGGATGGTGAGAGGACTCACCAGAGACAGAGTGGGGAACAGAACAGGTGGATCTACTGAAATACACTGCTCAGGGGAGCAGCAGGGAGCCAGGAGAGGTCTGCTGCACCGTGGGGGTAGCTCCCTGGCCACCGGGACTAAGAGCTTTATGGTTTGGAGAATGGAAAATCCCACTTTAAGAGAAGAACTCGTGATTGTAGCACACAACGGATGCATTCCAAGGTATTCCCCCAATCTAAATACCCTTTTCATTTTTCTAGGCCTTTCCAGGGAACGTCAACGCCGACAGTGTGGTCCGGCATGACCTGCAGCACCCGGTGACCGCACGCTTCGTGCGGGTGGTGCCGCTGGACTGGGGCGCCGAGGGCCGCATCGGGCTGCGCGTGGAACTGTATGGCTGTGCCTACTGTGAGTGCCGGGGCTTGGGGACACCTCGGGGTCGGTGCTGGGGCACCAGGTGCTTTCTACGGTGAAGGGCTGCTGTTTTCACGAGTGAAGACAACAGCAGGTCGTCTCTGTTATAAACGTGGGTTGACCTAGATGTGCAAATGCACACGCACCAACACCTTAGGAAAAGCACTTGGGAAGTGATTTTTGTTCAATAGACCCAAACAGGAAAGCTTGATAAATAGCTGATGTTTCCAGATCTATCAAATGGGACTGTTGTTTGTACCTCATGAGACTGGTACAAACACTCAACACACTAAGGAATGCTTCGGGCTTACTATGATGCCCATCATCATTATTCCATCAATAACTACTATGACTGTCCTTTTTGGTTGTGAGCGAAAACAGTAACCCTCAGGAGAGAAATGTCTTAGAACATTTCTGAGAACATTGCCAGATGTGGCTATGGAGGGGCACTGTGAGAGTTTGGAGGCGATACTGTGAAGTAGAATAAGAGTTGCCTGGAGCAGAAAAAATAAATGCTTGGCATCGTGCTTCCTAAAAAAAAAAAAAAGAAAGAAAGAAAGAAATATTTAAATTGTATGGGGAATATAAAAATAAAATTGAAATTAAAAAATAAAGAAATAAATAAGAAAAAAAAAGAAATATTTAAAACATAGAAATGTATACTGTTCTCACTCATCTCAACTCTGTGAGGGGCTCGGGATAGACCAGCATTAAGAACTTCCAGTTCGCTTCAGCTCTACGTTAAAGTCAAACACTGAGTTTTCCTGTCAGTTAGGTTTTGTGTCTGTAATTTTCATTTGCTCCTTTTCCAAGTTTACTTGGTTACCTAGAAAGTTTCTTTTCCCCGAATCTTGGTTTAAATCCATATTTTTTTTGTATTTAAGTACATTATACAGTGTATGGGTGAGAGGGTGGGGGGGCTGGTGGGGAGACTCCAGGATTCCCCCGAATGGCTCTGGGGGATTCTAACTCTGCCGTCTAGTCTTTGTGCTCGTGTTGGCCCACAGAGCAGGTGTGCTCCTCTGCCTCTTTCCCTCCCTCCATGTCTCCTTGCTCCCCTCCCCGCCTTACCCTTCTTGCTCTCATTCTCATCTTCAGCCTTGTGCTTCTCCACCCTTGACTGTGACCTTAATGTTTTCAAGACTTTATCTGTAGAACTTCTTCGAGGCCAAGTGATGGGTTCTTCTGGGGAGGACTTTTATCTTTGCTTCTTCATTTTTGTGACGGTGCAGCCAACTCAGAATTGCTTTGAATGTTGCTTGGGTTTTATGGAGGCCACTAGTTAATGTAAATTGCATTTGCAAATGCATGATTTGCCAACTCTGGCATTAAAACATGAATTCTCTGGAAAAATGTTTTCTCCTCCTGCCAATACATTTTTCTTTCTGTTTTTACCGACTGGCCCGAGGAAGGGGGATGCTGGATGTGGACAGGGAGGGAAATAGGAGATCAGCTGTGTGCAGTAAGGCTGCCCCTACTCCAGACAAGTAAAACCTCTCTAGAACCAGAAAATGACAAATGCCTTATTGGGCGAGCTTTTTAAAGTTGACCAGATTATTGGTTGTTCATAATTAATAAATATTTATATATATAAATATATATTTACATATTATATATACATTTATATAATATATATTTATTTTTATATATTTATATATAATATAAAAAATAGCCATATAATATAGCTATATTATATGGCTATTTTTTATATATAGCTATATAGCTATATATAGCTATATTATATGGCTATTTTTTATATTATAAATTATAATATATAGCTATATATATATAATATATATAGCTATATATTAATCCTTCTAAAAGAATCATATTGACATCCCATCCATCCCCACAGCTACTATTTACTTCTTGAAGGTGAACACTCACCTGTTTTATCCCCATAAAATTTTAAAATTACCTACAAATGGAATTTATAGCTATATATATATATTCTTGTCCATATTTCTACTGGGTTATCTATTTAAAATTATTCTGATTGTTTTAGAAATATTCATCTTTTTCCCATATTCTCATTGTGATAGCTAGACATTTATTTTTGAGATGACTTTCCTTAAAATAACCATTTTATTTACAGATAGATATAGATATGGCTTCTACTGCTGTATGAATCTAGTTGTAGATACTGGTGAAAATAGTTACAAGAACTAACAAACCATGCATTATTAGCTCGTGGGAGTGTTGCTATGTGCAGAATAAAGAGTTGCTGTGAAGGTGCCCTGGAGACCATTTAAAAATTTCTATGGGTGTTTATTTTATTTGATGGTCACTTTATTATAGCAAAGATAATGAGCATAGAGAAACAGAGATGTAGTTTTTCACCAGAATGTTAGCCTTTAGGAGGAAGCTTTAATTCTTCATGAGAGACCTAAAAAAAAGCCCCAACTTAAATTTGCATCTGTTCTGGTCCTTTTTTATCAGGTATTCAGGTACACGGCACCCCATGTTCACACACATTCTAGCTAACGGCATCATGATAGAAAGGCCAAAATAAACATGATATTTTGTTGAATGACAGATTTTTTTTAGGAGCATATTCAACTTTCAATAAATGAAAAGTATGTAATATTCTTCATGGAAACTGTTCTATATAATTTATTGTATTAATAATTATTAAGTAATTTTCAGGTGTCATGAAATTTGCTAACAGTGATTAAGGAAAACATGGTTTGAGAGACAAATGGGGGCAATTAAATTGGTATTTATTACAATGAAAATGGTGAAAGTTGAATTTTCCCAGCGGCACTCTCCTAAGTGACAGAGCCGAGAGGGAGGCAGGGAGTCTCCTGCCATCCAGGGCTCATGTCCACCACGCTGCGGGCCTGCCCCTCAATTTTAAGGAAGTGAATTTTATTCACCAGTTAACAGGGCAATGAAAGAATCATATTGACATCCCATCCGCCCCCCAGCTACTATTTACTTCTTGAAGGTGAACATTCACCTGATTTTTATCCCCGTAAAATTTTAAAATTACCTACACATGGAATGATAAAATACCTCTAACTTCCCACCTGTCTTCATTCGTTCAAAATAATTTGTGAGAATTTTATGTCTTAGAGGTATTTGTTCATTTTCATGAGTCTTGTTCTATTGTATGAATGTTCTACAATTATTGATTCCTTTCCTGTGGGTGAACATCTGAGTTGTTCCAGGCTTTGGCCTTCTCACAGAATTGCTGTAAACATGTCTCATGGCCTAGAGCTAGGAAGGGGGTATGTGCACGTCATATGCCAAATGAGCGTATATGGAGGTTCAATTTTTGTCAATAACAGACTTTTCTTAAGTTGGTTGTTTTGATTTAGTCTCTCAGAAAGGATGTCCTTGAGTTACTGTACATCCTGAAGAAATTCAAACTCCCTATGTCCTTAAGTCTCAGCCCTTCTGGTTGGTGTTTGTTCTATTCTGTCATTTTAGTTTTAATGATCATTTTCTGATGTTTAATGAGGTTGTGCTTACCGGCCTTCTGTGTGTCATTTGTTTTGAGTGGGTTCAAGAATCTTGTCCATATTTCTACTGGGTTGTCTATTAAAAATTATTCTGATTGTTTTAGAAATATTCATATTTTCCCCATATACTCATTGTGGTAGCTAGACATTTATTTTTGAGATGACTTTCCTTAAAAATAACCATTTTAAAACCAACACTGCTCTTGAGGTGACTTTAGAACTCACAGGGAAGGTTGAACAGTGTTTTCCAAAAGGCAGCTATTTGTCTGACTCAAGTGTGCCTGAAAATCTGGTGTCTTCTATCATTCTAGCATGTAAATTTGTGAAGTTTTGAGTTACTGCTGCCATGGACTTTTCCCTTAATCCTGGACCTTGGCAATCACAAGATAGAAGGGAAAAATACTGGAAGTTAACTAAATTGGAAGCTAAACTTTTCTAGGATCCAAGCCTCTCTGGGGAAAGATCATATTTGGAAAGAGTATTAACATTTATACCAATAGTTGTTAGTGCAGTAAATGAGAAATTGGCAACATTAAATAAAAGAGAAGTTTGAAATAGCATTGTGGTAGATGGTGCTAAATTGGATAATGTCCCCCACCCTCCCAGGAGTCACCAGGTCCTGATTCTTGGAATCTTACTTTATTTTTTTAAAGATTTATTTATTTATGCATACAAGAGCTGGGGTACAGGCCAGAGATGTGGGGGGGTGAGAGGATCCACCAGAGACAGAGTAGGGAGCAGAACAGGCAGTTCTACTGAAATACACTGCTGAGGGGAGCAGCAGGCGAGACAGGAGAGGTCTACGGTGCCATGTGGGTTGCTCCCTGGCCGGTTGGGGATAGAATTCGAGCTGCAGAGGCTGCAGGTTGCTTCATAGTGCGGTGCTTAACCCCTTGCACTACCAGGGAGGCCCAGAATCTTACTTCATAGGGCAAAGTCTTTGCAGATGCAACTAAGTTAGTGATCTTTATGTGCTGACAGAGCTAAAGGCTAGATGTCAAGTTTCCCTTTTCCAAAGTGCAACAGGTGCTGTCTGGACAGTCCCAGACTAGTCCTCTAAACTGGTACCACCGGGAAGGAAAATGTTAGCCATCCTGATGTGGGAGATTCTCCGGCTTGCCCCCCGGCTGCTCTCCTGAGCACTCATATGCTTACCAGAGGTGGGCAGAGGATTTCACAGAGCGAAGGCTGCATGACCGCGGAGAAAGGCAGAGATGGGAGTGATGTGGTAGGAAATCAGGGAGTGTCAGCACCAACAGAAGGGGGCTGGGGGGCCAGCTTTTCTCTGAGAGCCTGGAAGGTGAGTGGTTGGTTGATACAAGGACTTCAACCCAGTGAACTGATTTGGAACTGCTGATCCCAAAACGGAGAGGAAACAAATCACTGTTGTCTTAGACCGCCACATCTGGGTTAAGTTGTTATAGCAGCAACAGGAAACGTATAAAAGCAGCAATATCATTTTAGGGTGGAAAAAAAGACAAAAATAACTAGCGAAATGCTTTCCAACAGAACTTTATTCAGAGATGTGAA